AGAAATTTAAATAAATGATTATGTTGAGCTCTAACACAAGAAGTAAAAATAGTCCAGGGGCCAGGGAGATGGCTCAGTGGAATAAGCGCTTCCCTGGCAAGCACAAGGGCCTGAGTTTAACCCCCAGTTCCTCCAAAAAAAAAGAAAAAAAAAGAAAGAAAGAAAAATAGTCCAGATACTCTCATGCTGTAGCCTGGCCACAGGACTTAGGGAAGTTCATTCCAGCCCATATGAGGTGAACATGTAGGTACCCTAGAAAATCTTGTTGTAAAGCTGACTGAGACAATCTCTACATAATTTTTTTAAAAAAAAAAATACTTCATTATGTGCAGTTGAGTTACAAATTTAATCATTCTTTTCTTTTAAATTGATTTATTATTTGGTACAGGGTCTTGCTATGCAGCTCGGGCTCATAGTGATGCTCCTGTCTCAGCCTGGAATTGCAGGAGTGCATCACCATGCCTGGTTTTGGTGGCCAGCCTGGCACAGGGCTGGCATAGCATGTGGTACTGGGGATCAAACCCTGGTCCTTGGAATTGCTAAGCAGGCTCTTAGACTGCTGCGCTATCTCCTCAGCCCTCAGTCATTCTTTTTAATCTATACTCTGGAACAGTTTGCATTTGAATGACTAATCAAAGGCTCCTGCACACAGAAAGCCAAATCAAGCTCAGTGTGATCCTCTATTTCTGTTGAATACCAGAAGGTTATCGACTACTGGACTCTTTTAGATTATTTTGCTGAGTTAACACACCTATAATATTCAAATAACAGAACTTAACAAAAATAGTATACAGATGAATGTCCATTTTGTATCTGTGTATTAAAAGTGGTTAGGATAGATATATAGTTACATTCTCTTAATGAATAGAGGGATTTGTTCTAATGGTGTTTGTAGATAGGATCTCAAGTCCGCATCTTGTACAGCAATTAACCACTGAGAGGAATGTATGCAATGAGTTAATTATTGAAACTGTCCTACCAATTTGATTTGAAACTGTCTCACTGCTATTTGTTTATCAATAAAATTATGAAAAAAAAACAATAATGGGTACCACAAAACATCTTTCATGACACAACAGTGTTCACAATGGCCTTCCCACTCCCTGGATAAATACTCTAAATATTTCAGCTAAGAGTTTGCACTGAAGGAGGGGAGTCTTGTCACAATAATTCCTATAAAACAAAAGAGCCAACTGGTTTAAGAATGCTTCACTTTCCTAAAAAGCACCAATTGTAGTCATGCACATAGGTTATTTCTCCCCTGAATATCCTTATTGGCAAGGTGGAATGTCCCATCATAAATATTTAAAGGGCTTGTTTCAGGAATGCTTATTTATCTAAGTTTTCAACTCAGAAAACAAAGCAATATATTAGTATGAAGTAGGATCAATATACCCGTGAGATGAACACTAAATCCAGAAACTTCTTATAGCAAAATGGCAAAAAAAAAAAAAAAAAAAAAAAAAAGGTAGGAGATGAGAAAAGAAATGAAAAGGAACTTGAGTTTTATCTGTAATGTCATCTTGTTTTAAAAAGTAATGACCCAGGACTGGGGAGATAGCTCAGCAATCAAAGCACCTGCCTGGCAAGTGTAAGGACCCAGGTTCCATCCCCAGTACCACATGCCATGCTGGCACCATGCTGTGCTGCCCACTGAAGCCAGGTGTGAGGGCACACACCTGTAATCCCAGCACCAGGGAAGCTGAGACAGGAGGATCATGAGTCCAAGCTGCATAGCAAGACCCTGTACCAAATAAGCAAGAAAGAGAAAAAAAAAAAAAAAAAAAGAAAGAATCAAATATTGCAAAATATTAAGGTTTGACCAGTTTCAAATACAAAAGTGTATTCTTTTAGTTTTTTTTTATCTTAGCTTAACTTAGAAAGCACAAGAATGTTGCACAGAAGGTAAAGGGTACCCATGGTAAAGGACAACCATGGCTATATGGTAAGGCATTGCCATGGTGAAGAGTATCCATCCATCCCTCAGTCCACTCTGCCAATGTGAGCCTCTTACTCTGCTATGACATAATGATGGGACCATGATATTAGCATGGGTGCAAGCCCATAAACCAAGATGAAGACAGCACTGAAATTTCCCTAGTTCTCCCACTCGTTTCCAACTCTGTGTGAGTCTATCTATAGTCACACGCTGATTCCGTTGATTTCTCTTTAGTGGCCTGCAGTCTGTGATGTGCTTCTTGGGTATCATCCCCTGGCTTTCATGACTGAGAATTTTCACAGAGTGTATCTAACATCACACAGTTGAGGCATCTCTTTTTCTCACACTTGGAGTGATTGTGAGAATACCTCAGATACTGTGTCAAGCCTTCAATACAGACTATCCCAAGTTTATGCGGTCCCCTTTTATAACTTTAAGTTATTTTATCATTTTGACCAATAAAAGTAAATGGCTTTGAGTCCATAGAGAAATAGAACCAGTAAGATATCTTACATTCACAGGAAAAGAAATGTATTAGAAGCAGAAAATTCCCAATATTTGCCATCTATCTGCATGTTAGAAGCTCAGGAGAGCCCCTGGTAAGATTCTACTCTGAATCTGAAGGTCTGAGAAGCAGCAGAGCTGGTGGATAAGTTTCAGCCAGATCAGAGGAGGAAAGAATGTTGGAAAGCCCCAAGTCTTTCAGGGACAGCAACCCTGCCTTCCTTAGCTTTTAGTCCTACCAGGCCTCCAGTGAGCCCCACGCATTCTGCATTACTGAGCCTACTGACGCTTGTGGGGCTGGGGTAGGAGGAGCACAGTGAGTTCAAGGCCAGCCTGGACTACACAGTGAGTTCTATACTACACAGAGCCTGAACTACATAGAAAGACACAGACTCAAAAAAATCAAAACTAAACAAAAATAGAATACTGTTTAACCAATATCTCAAAAGCCTCAAGGCCCAGTCAAGTTCACACGGCTTACAAGCTTAACTTGCTAAAGTAGAAACTTCTTCCTCTACATATCTAGGCTCTACGTTCCATCAACTGAAATGGATTTTAGAAAATGTCCCAGTTCTTCAATTCAATAGTCTTACTGGCTTCAGACTTAAAACATTGTAAATCCAGAAAATATTATTAGTTGGAAAACATTGAGCAGCTCTATCATGGATGTTCTTGCTTCCAGAGATAGTTAGTTCACACTATTTCAGACATCCATCCTTCTGCCCTCGTGACGGATCTGCTTCAGCCTGCATGGTGTGTGTACAAAATATTTTGAAACTAAGGAGAAAGGTCAGTGATGTCTACCCTCATTTTTCTCTATTTCCTTTACTGGTTATAACTTGTGTTTCATATTGTCATGGTAACCAGGAGTCCAAGGAAACAGACTCTGACCATTAGAATTTTAGCAGTGAGATTAAAAATGGAAGCATTTCTCATATGTCCTATTTAAATTTGAGGAATTAGAGGTCATCTTTCAGGTGGGCAATCACCAAAGTATAGCATGACAGAGCGGGAAGTTCTGTGTATGTGTGTGTGTTCATATGCTCCTCCTCCTCCAGCTATTAGCAGGGAATCATGACAAATGGCCCATTTAATGATGGGCTGTTCAATGGTGGGTGGGTAAGCGTGTAGATGGCTATGGCCTGTCTGGTCGGCAGTTTGCCATCAACATTGTAAGATTGAAATGCATTTGTGACATCTGGTCCATAATGAACACGTATACAAATAGAATGGCAGCTGTAGTCAGAGATTTGTGGACTAGAATCACCAAATACACATATGTGTTTATCATAGGTGTGTCATAAGATGTCATAATCTGTTCTATTTAGGAGCCATTTACACATGCAGGATATGTGCACACGTACATGCAATGTCCATATGTCCATATGCACATATACAAAGAAGAGGGTAAGATTACAAGGAAATCCAACAGAATGTTTTGATGAGCCATTATCCACACCTATGGATGGCAGGATTGTAGGCTTATCTATTGTCATCTTTACATTTTAGTGCATATTTTAGATTTTATACCAGTATCATATTTTTGATGAAAGTTATTTCAACTGTAATAGTAAAACTAGGGAGTGGAATCAGGTGGAGGTATTTAGTAGAGAGGGTGGATTTTACAATGATATATTTAAGAGAATATACCTCTTCTGCTCTTTCTATTCCCTTTTTGGGTATTGTCCCAGGAGAATTAAAAACACCCTACCA